CTAGTACTACAAATCTGGGCAGCCTAGTTTGTATAATATGCAAATGTTTATATTATGTAAATTTAGTGCATTAATAGTTGCAATGGTTTGTTGCCAATATATGTCATTCTTGGCAGTATTTACACAGTAAACACTGATAATACAAGCATACAGTATTGTTTGATTAGGAACATGAAGATCCAAGCTCACATCTCTGTCTAGTCAAAAGCTTGCCTGATTTTACTGGGTCAGTCAGTATCTTTTAGCCAAACCTACTTTATAGGGTTGTTATAGGAGTAAATGGAGAAAGGGAACTATGTAAAGTTGCTACATACATATTTGTGTATGTAAGTAAACAATAGTGATATTTTGTCAGTTGTGGGAAGTTTTAGTGGGTAGTTTTAGTCCAAAGTTCCATCTTGTGGATACAGCAGTGGTGTTTAGCATAATCAAGCTATTGTAGTAGAAAGATGCATTGTTCTATTTATTATTTTATTTATTTTATTTATTTTATTTATATCCTGCCTATCTAGTCACTTAAGACCACTCTAGGCGGCTTACAACAAGCGTAATACAAAATAATTAAAACAATTTTAAATAAGGGGAGAAACTTTGGACGAAATGGAACAGACACTAGGAGAGAGGAAAAAGAGGGAAGATCAGGAGTTGCCTGAGGGGAAGGCCTGCCGAAACATCAGTGTTTTTAATTGTTTGATTTTCTCTCTGCGCATGTGTGGAATGTGTAGACAAGATAAGTTTCTCGACGCCTCTTTGGCTAAAATCTTATGCTAATTTTGCTTGTTTTGCGTACTTAATAAAAACGTCTGGGGTGAAGAAAGCAGCCATCTTCTTCTTCTCCACTGGTACCTGAATACTAACAAGATAAAGTTTGCAGTGTCTTTTTTATCAGAGAATTCTCTCATCAACTGTTGCTGGACAGGCCCAGTAACAGTTCCCTGGCTATTTTCCCACAGTCATTCATTAAATCAGATCATTGTCATTCTTTGCATACTTTTAAATTTTAATTTAATTTCTATGCCACCTTTCTTTCATAAAGGGAACTTAGCTTACAGTAGAGTGGTACCATCAGTTACGAACTTAATTGGTTCTGGAAAATGGCTGTAACTCAAGTTGGTTGTAGCTCAAAGCACCATTTCCCATAGAAATAAATTGAAGCATGATTAATCCGTTCCAGCCGGAGGAAAAAACCCAAGACCCATCAGAAACATGATTAATCTGTTCCAAACAGAAAAAACACACACACCGAAAAACAAGCAAACAGTGCAAGACCCATCAAAAACGCAATTAATCCGTTCTGGGCAGAAGGAAAAAAAACTGAGAACAAAGGAACACTGCAAGACCCATTAGAAACACAATTAATCCATTCCGGCCAAAACAAAAAGAAAAATCACACACTGAAAAAACACCAACACACCGCAAAACCCATCGGAAAAGCGATTAATTCATTCCAGCCAAAACAAAAGCAAAAACCACACCATGAGAAAAAACACCACAAAACCCATTGGAAACATGATTAATCCATTCCAGACGGAAAAAACACACACATAAAAAACAAACAAACACTGCAAGACCCATCAGAAATGCAATTAATCCATTCTGGCCGGGGAAAAAACACTTTAAAAAAAACAATGCAAGTCCCATCACAGCACAGAAACATAACCCCCCAGCCTAAACCCATGCTGCAAAACCCTGTTCTCACACAGAACAGGCATTTTAAAAAGCAGAAAGGAATATCAGGCAGTCCGAAGCCTCCTCTGAAGGCGCACACTCTTAACCACTGGGGCGAAAGAGCTACAGAGAAGCAGCCTCTTCGCTGACCAATGGTTAGCAGTTTAAATTCCCTGTCTTTTCCCCCAGTTGTATCTCAAAGCTCCGGTCGCAAGTCAAAGCAAAATTTTGCGGCCAGAGCTGTTCGTAACTCGAATTGGTCACAAGTCAATACATTTGTACTGTAAGTCGAGGCACCACTGTAATTAAAATACACATAAAGTTTAGAAGACAATTTATTTACAATTTTAAAAAATTTAAGACATGCTCATATTAAAATTTATCATATAGAATCACTTAATCACAAAAAATCACAATATTTAAAAGCACATCTGTGAGAGTTCAAGTTTTAGAATTTGGGTCTCCACAAAACATCCATAGACTTAGGTAACTTTGCAACAGGGGAAAGGTTTATTAGAGTATTCAACAAAAAATCCTTATCTATGAAATTGTCCCACAACTGTTCCCATTGCCAATAGGTCGGACAGGGTTATCCAAGCATCTTTCAAGAACGGATTGGTTTCTTCATGATTTCATGGACCCAGCCATCCCTGGAGGGAATCGTCTTTCAACACCTCGGCATCCTCTCCTTCCAGTAGGGGAATTGTCTCATCCTCGGTGGTTCTGGCCCACTTGCCATCTCTGGTGGCTGGGAATAAGACCAAGGGTCCCCCTGGAAGCCTCTCCTCCTCGCCTCCTCCACTCTCCATCTCAATCTCTCTTGTTTTTCCCTTTCTACCTTTTCCTTCTCTTCCCTCGGCTGCTTCCGCCATTCGCAAGCCTCTGCTTCACCCCAGTACAATGGCCATGGGGGAATTTCTTGTCTCCGGTGGTAATCCACCTCCTCCTTGGGCACACATAGTCGTTCCCTCTGTCCAGTCCAAGAGTTTTGTACCCAGACCCATTCCCAACCTGGAGGCAATCCCCTTTCCCCTCTTTTTATTTCTGCTGTCCCCACTTCTATCTCCACCCTATTTTTCTTACACATTCCCGCCAAATTGTCCTCTGTTTTGAATGGCTACCGTTAACCCGCACTTTTGACTTCCATGTCCTGGATGGCACTCCAGAGAGAGGCTTCTTTCTCTCACCTTCTGTCTCACAACATCTTTTAGTGACCAAAATTCTCCCTCCCTCCATACTGTATATATATATATATAAGTCATATTCATATATATATTGAGATTCCTGCAGATTCTCCTACATTTTGTGGCAAAATCCAGTGAATCTGTAGGGGGAGTTTTGGTCACTAGAAGATGTTGTGAGATAGAAGGCGAGAGAAAGAATACTTGGTTGCTGAGGTGCATACATTTATCACCAGACTGCAACATGAAAAAAGTTCAGTTAGAAATGTAAGTTTAAGACAACCAAAAGACTAAGTATTCAGCAGAAGACAGGGATGTTGACAAGCCTTTCAGTCCGAGTCCCAAGTCTGAGACCAAGCATTAGGTACGAAGTCCCTAATCCAAGTCCAGGTCTTTGGTACAGAATCCCAAAACTGAGTTTCTTTTCCCTAGAAAAGGGAGGTTGGTGGTTCCCAAGTTGTGAGTTGAGTCCAGGTTATTGAAAAATAAACCCTGAGTTGTGCCCAAGTCGAGTCATTAGTGAGACTGAGTCCTGAAACTCGATTCCCCACTGCTGGTAGAGAAGCACACTTTGAGCATTACTGGTTATAATTATTCCATCAGGTATGTAGTCTGTAGTCTCTAATATGGGAAATAGGATGATGAACTATATCATGGATGGGTATGCTGTGGCAGTCCAGGGGCTAAATTTCTATCATTGGAACCCACCACAGGCTGCATCCCATCAAACTTGTGAAACACAAATAAACTATTTTTTTTGTTTGTTAATTGAACAAAGTGTGGAGGATTACAATTTGTTTTAATGGGGAATTTGCTCTTTAGGAAGTTTTCCCCAAGTGTTCCTGTTTTTGATAAATTGTGCTTCCCAGAGGCAAGGCTGTCTATATTACTCACCCCTGTTTAAAAACAAATGTGTATCAGGTTATCCTATGCGATTTGCATAAAAGAAAAGTACCACTGAGCTTCACTTTTATGGATCTTTTAAGAGTACAAAAGCTGTCTTGTCACGTAGCAGGTGCGCTTCATTACAGTTGCTGGAATCTGCCTCCCTCTCTAGTTGAAAAATGCAAGTCAGCAAATAGCAACAAATGGGGAACACTTATTTTATAAAACTAATTTTTAAAAATACTGTAGCCTATTCAAAACCAAAATATCCTCAAATGCTCTGCATTACAACAGGAACATCTTGCAACAATGTACTGATTCTAAAAAAATCAGTTTCTCTACGAGGTACTATACAGATGGTAGCTAAGCTCAGAGGGCACAGGAAGGCCTTATGGGAGGCATTGACAAATTATGCAACAGCCCTGCTATTCACAAAGTCACAGGTGTTAAACTCTCACAGGCCTGAGTCCACTACACCATTGGTTACTATGACATTAAAACATAATATCTAAATGCTACAAGCTGCTGGCCTGTTATACAAAACATATTGTCCTCCCATCTACCTGTTTTCCCAAAAATAAGACCTAACCTGAAAATAAGCCCTAATATAATTTTTCAGGATGCTTGTAAAATCAGCCCTACCCCCCAAAATAAGCCTCAGTTAAGTGAAACCCTGCCCTCCACCATTGTGCAGCAACCAGAAGATGACATGACTGTATGTGAATCAATATAGATTGTTGTACATGAAAAAAATTAAACATCCCCTGAAAATAAGCCCTAATGCATTTTTGGAGCAAAAATAATATAAGACCCTGTCTTATTTTCAGAGAGACACGGTATGTTATTGATTTAGCACCTATAACGGAACATGAACCACAGCAAAAGCCAACATCTGAACCATACGACTTCTCCTTCCCCTTTAGTGTATTCAGACATTTGTTTGTATAGAACTGAAAAATTCTAGTTATATTGGGAAGCAGTTAAATTATTATTCAGCCATAATAAAAAAATATTCTTAAGACATTATTGTAATTTAATATAGTGAACATGTTGCAGCTGCATAATTTTGTGAGTACTGTAATTATTTCCCATTTTTCAAAAACAATGAAAGCAAATACTTTTCAGGCACATACTTATAAATAAGTTCCCACTGAATTCAATACCATACAGTATTCTCCTTTGAATTGCACTTAGTACTGCAACCCAGTCTTGTCCATGGGGAACTCCCAGATTTCTAGACCAAATACTGTACACAAATACACATACCTGTAATTTACATCATGGCCAGAATTCTATGGGTGTTCATTTAGCAGCTGCATATCTTGCTATCTCTAATTGTGGCTAATTGATGAGGTGGTGAGCGTCACAGCTGTACAGTTAGGTACAGGACTGAGTATGCAACTCTGATGTGTCTTGGTACCTTGTTAGTTAACTGCGGTTTGTTGTGGTAAAGTACACAAACCTTACAAGGGCCTAATCGTTATAATAAATAAAGTGTGTTAAACGATCTTTGGTTTATCAGGATGGGCATTACTAAAGGACAAGGAATTCTCTGCAACGTTATACTTTTGCTAATATACTCCCTTAGCTCATTTCAGTATTGTTGCTCAGATCTTGTTTAGCAATAAGAGGTTTGTGCGCGCGCGTGTGAGAAAGAGAGAGAAGAAAAATGATCGAAGCCTAATAACCGGTGGTTATTAGGACCTGTCGGGATTCCGAGGAAGCATTTTGCTTGGCTGCTGAGGCTGAGCTGGGGAAGACCTGGAAATGAAAGTAAAAAAGACCAAGAGGCACATGGAGGGAGCTGCAGGGCCAGCAGCTGTAGGGGCTGCTCTAAGGGCAGGATGGTGCTTTCTGTAATTAAATAACAATTACTGGTATTATTACTAACCGTAATAATGCTTTAATAATATATCTAGTAATATAATACAATTTATCAGAGAGAGGCGATCCAAGTGTAGAGGGAATACCTAAGCAGAAGAGGTAAGTTGGTTGTGTTATTTATTTTCCTGGGAAAGAAGGACTGGAGGGGAGGAGAGAAGATCCATGAAAAATACACCTGAAGCAATATGCGTAGGTTTGCAAAGTAATAATATTATGGACTGCAGAACTACAGTATTGCTTTATCCCAGCCAGAAGCGAAAGGTAACACGAAAGTCCCAAATGTGTTTTGTCTTAAAATGGTACTTTGGAACAATTGGTTAAAAGATATTTCTTCCCCCTGTTTTGGAGCTGAGATTGGCAGAGTGTGAACAGTTGGGAAGGATACGGTAATCCGAGAAGCCCTTTAGAGTCCGGAGGATTTCGTATAAATGTTATGCCATCGTTTGGAATCAGTCGAATATTTGGCCGTGTTTTTCGCCTGTTTTTCTTGCGAAAAGTACGAATTATATGTGCAATGCAAAGGCTTTGCAGAAGGGCTGATTTCGGACGTTGAGGGAGTTTGCTAAAGAAACGTTTGATTAGTGCTTGCTCTAGTATGTTATCATCTCACTTGTAAAAGTTAACCAGTTTAGCAGAACAAAAGTGTTTCTTTAAAAAAAAAGTTTATGAGGCTATTTCAGCCTGGAAGCAGCTGTGGTAGTTTATTGTGATTTTAACAGCATTTCATGTGGTGAAAAACGGTGGCTTCCTAAGACAGACGGCGCCTTCCTGTTTACTTCCGCGGTTGAGGTGTATCTAATTTCGGTTGCCTTTTCTAAGCGAGCCCGAGGATTGGAGGCCTTGGGTTAATCGGAAGGAGTTCGATTTTGATCCTGCGGAATGTAAGCCAAGAATCGTGGCCCTCGGGGCTGGTAATGGGGACAGGATAAAGGAAGCAATTCTAAGGAGTAGGGCAATAAACAAGATAGAGAACACAATCATTGGGCATAAGCAGGATGCATTCCCCTTTAAAAATGTTGCTAATCTATTTTACGTGGCTGTTGCACGAATATGACGGATAAAACAAAATACTGTACTGTATGCAGAGAAAAGTGGAGAACCAATGCTTGGGGGGGAATGGGAGATCATAACATAAAGAAAAATGTGTTTGCTCCCCTGCCCCCCTCCCTTGGAGGGAACTCAGTAATGGGTACACTAAACTGCTAGTAAATGAGTGCCATAAAAGTAATCTTAAATTAGATCTTACAGATTGTAGGCTACACTGTTAATGTATAAACCGGACCACTGCAGGTAAGCTGCACATATTTTTCTATGCAAAAAAGTACAATTTGCATGAAGGGAACAAACTTGTTTTGTACCTGCCATACCATTTGTGAAATTTCTGGAGAGATCCTTCTTAATTATCTTATAACCAGTGGCACATCCCAGTCTATTGGTTTAATCAAAGCTTTGTTTTGCCCTAATGTTCAGGTTGTGACAGAAGGATGGAAAGTAAGAGGTTCAAAGCTGTTATACTAAATGTCTGTTCCTGTTTTATGTATTTGTTTTTAAAGCTTTTAGTATATCTTCACTATATATTTTCAGGCATTGACTTGATGGCTTTTTAACCTGAGGATCTTGGCACTGTAATAATGTAATGAAATTAACCTGACTCTGCATGTCTTGGATATCTTTCTTGATAAGCTTATTTAGAGTGTTTTGAGTGATAATTAGAGAAAACGCTGACATTTATGGGCATGGTTTTGATAGCAGGTGGACATCTTAGATGCATATATCCTTGAGGTGTACATAGTGAAGACAGACTAGAGTAAACAGAAAAAGGAAGGTGCGGTTAGTAGGTCTTGGAAGATGTCGTACAAAAAAAGGCATTAGGCACAACAGAATGAAGCAACCTGATGGATACAATGGATACCTGAGAATCCATTGAACCCATATCAGGCTGATGGTTAGATGCAAGAAGTGGAGATGTAATGGTCAGTGCTGTATTTTCAGAAGAGAGAATTTTGAGGAATATTAATTAGTGGCTAAAAGGAACTGGGTGTGAACGGATTTATTTTCTATTAATTTTACACTTTAGAAAGTTTTATTTAAAATAAGTTATTCTGTTCCCATTCTTTCCTCTTTGTTGTTGGCTACTTCACCACAGTTGTTAATGTTTACTATTAACTTGTTTGTTATGGAAAATGGAAGAAAACTCTTGAATTAAAATAAGTTTATTGTAAAGTTGTGCAGACATTTCAAAGCTTATGTGTTCTGCAACCATACCCATTACATACAGGTTTGGTTATTTATTTATTTACTGAATTTATATGCTGCCCACTCTACCCAGAGGTCTCTGGGTGGCTTACAATAATTAACATTCAATACAATAAAAATAAAATGATTAAAATACAATTAAAATACAATTAAAATTGCCATCATCAGGACCCACAGTTGATGTTGTTTCAATTAAAAGCCTTCTGGAACAGGAAGGTTTTGACTCGGCGCCAGACGAATTTCAGTTGGGAGGGCGTTCCATAGTCTGGGGGCAGCTGCCGAGAAGGCCCTTTGTCTACAAGCCATCCCTCTTACCTCCTTGAGGGATGGCTCTTTCAAAAGGGCCCCC